CCCTCTCTCTCAGTGAGACCCCTCTCTCTCTCAGTGAGACCCCTCTGTCTCAGTGAGACCTCTCTCTCTCAGTGAGACCTCTCTCTCTCAGTGAGACCTCTCTCTCTCAGTGAGACCCCTCTCTCTCTCAGTGAGACCCCTCTGTCTCAGTGAGACCCCTCTCTCTCAGTGAGACCCCTCTCTCTCTCAGTGAGACCCCTCTCTCTCAGTGAGACCCCTCTCTCTCAGTGAGACCCCTCTCTCTCTCAGTGAGACCCCTCTCTCTCTCAGTGAGACCTCTCTCTCTCAGTGAGACCTCTCTCTCAGTGAGACCCCTCTCTCTCAGTGAGACCTCTCTCTCTCAGTGAGACCCTCTCTCTCAGTGAGACCCCTCTCTCTCAGTGAGACCTCTCTCTCTCAGTGAGACCTCTCTCTCTCAGTGAGACCTCTCTCTCTCAGTGAGACCTCTCTCTCTCAGTGAGACCCCTCTCTCTCAGTGAGACCCCTCTCTCTCAGTGAGACCCCTCTCTCTCAGTGAGACCCCTCTGTCTCAGTGAGACCCCTCTGTCTCAGTGAGACCCCTCTCTCTCAGTGAGACCCCTCTCTCTCTCAGTGAGACCTCTCTCTCTCAGTGAGACCTCTCTCTCAGTGAGACCTCTCTCTCAGTGAGACCCCTCTCTCTCAGTGAGACCCCTCTCTCTCAGTGAGACCCCTCTCTCTCTCAGTGAGACCCCTCTGTCTCAGTGAGACCTCTCTCTCTCAGTGAGACCTCTCTCTCTCAGTGAGACCCCTCTCTCTCAGTGAGACCCCTCTCTCTCAGTGAGACCTCTCTCTCTCAGTGAGACCTCTCTCTCTCAGTGAGACCTCTCTCTCTCAGTGAGACCCCTCTCTCTCAGTGAGACCTCTCTCTCTCAGTGAGACCTCTCTCTCTCAGTGAGACCTCTCTCTCTCAGTGAGACCCCTCTCTCTCAGTGAGACCCCTCTCTCTCAGTGAGACCTCTCTCTCTCAGTGAGACTCTCTCTCAGTGGACTCTCTCTCAGTGAGACCCCTCTCTCTCAGTGAGACCCCTCTCTCTCAGTGAGACCCCTCTCTCTCAGTGAGACCTCTCTCTCTCAGTGAGACCTCTCTCTCTCAGTGAGACCCCTCTCTCTCAGTGAGACCCCTCTCTCTCAGTGAGACCTCTCTCTCTCAGTGAGACCTCTCTCTCTCAGTGAGACCCCTCTCTCTCAGTGAGACCCTCTCTCTCTCAGTGAGACCCTCTCTCTCAGTGAGACCTCTCTCTCTCAGTGAGACCTCTCTCTCTCAGTGAGACTCTCTCTCAGTGAGACCTCTCTCTCCTCAGTGAGACCTCTCTCTCAGTGAGACCTCTCTCTCAGTGAGACCCCTCTCTCTCAGTGAGACCTCTCTCTCTCAGTGAGACCCCTCTCTCTCAGTGAGACCCCTCTCTCTCAGTGAGACCTCTCTCTCAGTGAGACCTCTCTCTCTCAGTGAGACCTCTCTCTCTCAGTGAGACCCCTCTGTCTCAGTGAGACCTCTCTCTCTCAGTGAGACCTCTCTCTCTCAGTGAGACCCCTCTGTCTCAGTGAGACCTCTCTCTCTCAGTGAGACCCCTCTGTCTCAGTGAGACCCCTCTCTCTCAGTGAGACCCCTCTGTCTCAGTGAGACCCCTCTCTCTCAGTGAGACCTCTCTCTCTCAGTGAGACCTCTCTCTCTCAGTGAGACCTCTCTCTCTCAGTGAGACCCCTCTCTCTCAGTGAG